CAGGATTTTATAATGTAAGCATTGACAGCGGTAACTCTCCCTGTGCATCCTGAGAGACGGAATAGGTTAGAAAGATGATAGTGTATATGAACCTTATCTAATAAACTTGCATCTCATTTTTTTGTGAAAGGCCATTTGCACATTTATACTGATTTAAGATTGCTTTAAAATGACTTTCAATGTAGTATTGGGAGTTTTTCATGCATACATTTACACATGAAATCAAGTCTTTGTAGGCCTGTAATGGGAAGGAATAGTTGTAGTGCCTACTAAGAACATAATATTCTGTCTGTGCCAGATTCTACTGCACATTACGTAGCACATGAAACATGGCAACAGATAAGCCTTGATGCCAGAAAAGGAGAAATATGACACGTTGAATCAATTTGACTTTCTGCATTTAAAAAAAGAAAGAAAGAAAATTAAGCTGGAATATCCTGTCTGGTTGCAAATTAGTTTTCATTTTCTGGATTATGCAAACTACTTATCTTTAAAACAAAAGAAACTATCTTTCCTGTGATATTCTATTGAACAAAGAAGTTGAGAGATTCTCATCCTCTGATAATCAGTTATGAAAGAAAAGGCCTGAATATTATTTTTTAATAGGACTTGGCTGTCTATTTATTAGAAGGGTGATATCAACAGATCTCTTATGACACCAGTTCTTAAACTGGAGGAGGGGTAATTATTCCCAAACACCATATTTGGGCATATACTGGGGCTAATGAAGCAATTTGTACTTGCTTATAAATAGAAGATTCCGTTTGGGACTGTCACTGCATGTGTAAAACAACAGAATCTTGGTGGTGGTGTAATTATTGTACATTTATTATTCAAGACTGGAAAAGGGATAGTTGGGTGAAACAGTTTTAAAACTATCTCCTTTTATTGTTAGCTTCAGCCAGAAAGGAGATAGGCTGACTTACAAATCTTTCTACCTTTCTTTCAATAAGCTAATACAAACTGATTCCTCTTTGGAGCTATGACTTTGTGTTATGCATGTTTATTCATCTGATAGGCAGCATTTCTTACTCTTGCCAGGTTGGTGAGATTAATATTGGTTTCTTAGTTTGATATTTATGTTGTTTTATATCTTCATGCTATATTTGATATTTGAAAAAAATACAGGAGCAAAAATGTCTCAGGATGGAGTTTTTGCTTCAGGGTAAAAACTTTATGACAGAGGGTTGAACTCGATGACCCTGTACCCCCCTTCCTACCCTACAATTCAGTGATTCAGTGACTGGCACCTCTGCTTCCTAATCAGTAAAGGATATACAATCCTTGAAGAGAAATATTGGCACATTGTCTGTATTTAAAATAGAAATTTTATTGTTCTGTGTACATTTCATATTTCCCTGATGGAAAAGATTAATATCTTTACAGCCTTTTATCCTAGTTTATGATTCATTCATCCTTCCTCTGAACATGCACACAAATCTCAAAGGAATTCAGAGCTGCGGAATTAATCAAATACAATATTTATATGCATAGCTGATTCATGTAGTCGTCTGTTAAAAATCTGCATGCTTAACCATTAGCTATTTTTATGAATGTGTAAATAGAATGTGTGCAATGCTACTTTTGGATAATTTCCCTGATCAGCCTAATAACCCACAGATAAGTATATATGCACAATATACTTTGGGATAAATCTTTCTTTCATTGCACAGTTGTATTAATGGGTAATATGTTGACTTATATAAAGGCCAATAATTTCTCTTTTTCAGAAATTTTTTATATTAGCTCATGTTCACATGAATAAAACAGAGCTACAAATAGGGATTATCATGCCATTTGGGCCTTGGTTCAAGCCCTGATTCAGTAAAACAAGTTTTATATATTATTCCCTTTCTAATTTCTGATTCTCTTTAGCAGTCTCAGCTTAAGGATACCCATCTGCAACCTTGCAGCTTTCCTGTAACTGAGTAGTCTGTATTCTTATTCTTCATACCAAAGTCCTCCCTTGCTTCCCTAACCTTAACCCTAACCCTAACCCTCTGGAGCTTCGGGAGGCTGAAAATGGGCCCATTTCGGCACTTCTGGTATTTCCAGAAGGCCCGTTTTTCGGCATCCTGAGGCTGCAGAGGCTTCTCTTGAGCCTCCTGGAGGACAAAAACAGCCTCTCCAGAGGCCCTCCGGAGGCTGAAAACAGCCACTTCTGGTATTTCCAGAAGGCCCGTTTTTCAACCTCCTGAGGCTGCAGAGGCTTTCCTTGAGCCTCTGGAAGGGCGAAAACGGCCTCAAACAGCCTGAAAATCAGCTGAGGGGCGCACACATGCGCAGTGCAGGTACGTTTGCCTGGGACTTGTATGCTCGCACAAATGGCTCTGCATGCCACTTGCGGCAAGCGTGCCATAGGTTCGTCATCATTGCTTTATTCCTTGTCTCATGTTCTTGTGCTACCTTGGTACGCCCCCCCCCCCCCCAATGTATGGCAAAAGTTCTACAGGTATTTATTCCCCCCAGACAGGTCCTTGGGAAGCACCCCTGTTGCGCAGGTCCCGGATTCCAAACTCAGTCCAGCAATAGTCACTGGATAACTCAGTCCAATGACCACACATAAAATCTAGGAAAGCAGTCCAGGAGTCAAACAGCCAGGATACACTGGGCACATTGCTCTAGCAACACTCAAATTCTCAGGTCAGGGTTAAGTACGCAATGCAGCCCTTTATGAGAGGCAAGATGGCCTCCTCATGAGTAATCTAGCTGACTGACATTATGCCTGTCTTCTCTCTGCTCTGTGTATGGACCCCACCACCTTCTCATTGCTAATGGGTGGCAGCTGTTCCCTCTCCTTGCCTGGAGCCTCCTGGCCAACCTGCTGCAGTGGCCAGCCTCAGCCTGTCTCTGGTCAGATTGACCCAGCTGAGGCTTTTCCATCAGGCTAGCATTCTCTTAGCCCCGATCCTGACCAATACTCAGCTCCACACTTTTCTTTTGCAGACTCAAATTTACCCTCCTCCTCTACAATACTGCACTTTACCTGTTGCACCATCAGAGCTCTTAATATGTCCAACTTTATTTTTCTATTTAAACAGTCCTTTTTCTTTTGGGAAAGGGTTGGGCAAGTAGTTGATGGCTCTTTTGGAGCAACAATAATAGTAGGAAAGGGAACGAGAGCATGAACACACGATTACAACAATTGTACAGTTGGATGCTAAATGTATGAATGAACACAAAAAAGGGGTTTGGAAAAAGTTTTTAGACCGCTAGTGCAAACTGACTGTGTTGGTATAAATTGTGTAATTGCTGATATATATACATATGCATATACATATACATATACATATACATACATACATACATACATACATACATACATACATATATATGCTGATATATATACATATATACAGACGAACACAATACAGAAGCCTGATGATGGCAGATGAGATTCTGCCGAAACGTTGCTACAACTTTAAAAGCACAACTACAATGACGTGGGAAAATACCCGAACAAAGCTGAACACCATACATGTAAGTACCCGCGAAAACTTAAGAAAACATATATATATATATATATATATAAATAAATATAAATAAATATAAATAATATAAATATAAATATAAATAATATAAATATAAATATATCTCACTTAAAGCAAATTCTGGGATGACAATATTCATTAACACAAATGCAAATTTGCATAAAGGGAAGGAAACCTGAAATATGACAGGCCTTACAAGATGTTTTGGACCTTGGCAGTGTCTGTTCGTATTTCCCTTGCTGAGCTGAGAAAAACTTGCTTGAAGGTTGTAAAACATCTTTTCTTTTCCCCAGAAGAAAAGTCAGATCAGAGGCTTTGTTTTGCATCCGTAATTAGTTTTAAATAGTAGAGGAACTGCCTCAGCGGTGTGACTTTAACCTGACATTGCAGCTAAGCACTTCTCAGATTTCATGACTTGGTTTGCTTCAGGGTGGAAACATCTGTCTTCAGAGTCACCTTGATGCCTAAGCTTGTAGTATAATAGAAAGTGATATAGCTCAGAAATAAGAGAATCCATATAAATCAACCTACACCACTCTGCTGCCGTCCAGATGTATTGGACTTCTGCATCTTAAAAATCTAAATTATGTGGGGGATTGGGGAATTGATGCTTGATGCATTGGATGGGGACCAGGTTGGGAAATCTGAAATAGCGTTATGTTGACACTCTGTCATGAAACTTCATATGGTTGACGTGGAATTCCTAAGTAACTTTCCATCCAGACTTTGAGACAATTCCAGCAAGGTCTCTTCAGAACAGATTGTAAGAATTGGATCTGATCTATTGATCATGCCTTTCATATAATATTTAATTTTATTCCTCTTCTTGTAGGCAGTCCTCAATTTACGACCATAATTGAGCCCTAAATTTCTGTTGTTAAGTGAGATATTTGTTGTGGGTTTTGCCTTTCTTGCCACAGTTGTTAAGTGAATCACTGCGGTCGATAAGTTAGTAACCAGTTGTTAAGTGAATTTGGCTTCCCTATTGACTTTGCTTGTGAAAAGGTTGCACAATGTGACCTTGGGACACAGCGGTGGTTATAATATGAACCAATTGCCAAGCATATGAATTTTGATCATATGATCATGGAGATGTTACAAAGGTCATAATTGTGAAAAATGGTAATAAATAACTTTTCAGTGCTGTCGTAACTTTGAATGATCACTAAGTGAACTGTTGTATGTTGAGGATTACCTGTACTTAAAGAACACTCTGACACAATCTAGGAGATGATGACTGAAGTTTGCAAGCATAAGGCTGGTAGGGTGGGGTGTTAAATGTGCTACATTACACATCTGGATTTTTTTTCTCCTCACAATTATCTAGCGGTTGCCTGGAAGCCAGTTCAAATATGGTATAAAAATATTCATATTTAATGGCCATTCTACATCATGCTTAGATACCAGAAAAGACCCAATAAACAGTAGGGAAAAAATGAATGTGTATCTTTATTATATACTATGTATTTAAAAAGCTGGTCATTTTCTTTTCTCTTTCATTTTTAATAGGTGCCTCTTACTGAGCCTGTGGATCCAGTGGATTTGGAGGATTATCTTCTTACACATCCACTTGCAGTGGATTCCGGCCCTATGAGAGACTTGTTTGAATTTCCTTCTGATGATACTGAAGTCATCTACAGCCCTCAAGAATGCAGAACATTGGTGTCAGCTGTACCAGAGGAAAGGTAAGAAACATAGGGGAAAATGTAACTAGATCACATGCAGATACCTATGTACTGTATGTATATTTGAGATGTATGTATACAGTAGTACCCTGGTACTCTACCCCTTTGATATTTGTTATATTTTGTCCCGATACTCATCATTTGCTTACTAGAACTTTTTAGTATTGGCTATCTTGTGACTCCCTACATTTCTTATTGGAAAAATTTGTTTGGTCCTCATTGTTTTTGGCACTCATCGTTTCTTCCTGGAAAAAAATTAATGATAAGTCCTGAAGTACCACTCTAGTATGTACTTACTTGCTTCTTTCTTCCTCGTTGGATTTTTTTAAAAAAATCACTTTCAAGGTAAAGTTCAGTTATTGAAGAATTCACTGACAGGTCAATATCTGTTTTCTTGGCAACAATTCACAACTGTTTTGCCCTTCTTCTCTGTTGTTATACTTCAGTAAATTTCAAATTAAGGAAAGGGAGACATTGTTTATTTAAATTTATTTTGGTTAAGTACCCTGAACATTCAATATATTTGGAAGGGGGACATAAATTGAATTGAAAAGAAAAGATAAATATTTGTATGGTGGAGGTTTGTTGGCCAACTAGAAATAAGATTTTTGAGATCTTTGTGATCTGGAAAAAATAGTCATACCTCTTTCTTGTTTCATCTCTTTTATTTGCAGTGAAATGGACCCCCATGTGAGAGACTGTGTAAGAAGTTATACAGAAGACTGGGCTATTGTGAATAGAAAGTAAGTGTTTATATTTTAATAAACAATTGTGCAAGAGGGTATAAACAGAGGCCATTATCTATAAAAATGGAGTGGTGCTTTCAGAACACTGTCAAGCAGCCATCACTAATTATCATTTTCATTAATAAAAATGAACTTTTTGTAAATATTGGTTTGCTCCTAGGCAGCAATTTGGTTTTGCAGGAAGAACAGACCATTGCCCTCAGGGGAACCTTCTTTCAAGATTTGATGCGGTACTAGAAAGACAAGGCTCAATTTGATTTGATTCTTAACTTGCATGAAATACATCCCATACCTCTGTGTGCTATAGAGAGGGTTCATAAAAACTTAATATTGGCATCTCAAACAGTATTCACGCTGTTCTGGTTGCTAATTTTGGATTAGGTATGCAGCACTGTGTAGATGACATGCTGCTAGCAGGTCTGTTCAAATGCCATTTATGCCTGAGTCTAAAACATCTATTATCAGTAAACATCGCTTCCGTTTTTCCTGTCTTTCCTTCTTTAGAATTTTTTAAAAGAGAAATTAAAGAGTTGATCAAAGAAGTGTGGAAGGGAAAAGGTGAACCAGAGAAAGAAGTGGGGAAAATAAATGGAGGGAGGCTCCCCTTTTTAGTTTGTGCTCAATGGCGTTCTATCTGAAGTTGCCAAAGATTGCCTCTTTTGAAGTATGGCCACTAATACTTAAAATTATATGAAATAAATTCCACTTCTAAATAGCAAATTTAGTCTCTTGTGGGATTAAGCTGAGCATTTCAGATTTTTTGAACCTGACGGTAATAAAACTTGCCTGTTGGCCATGCTTAATATGCTCAGAGGAACAGGAATTCAGAACGGTAGGAGCACTTCAGGGTGCTCACCTTGTTGTACAGTAACAGAACTACATTTACAGTATCATGAGATTATTTCTACTCATCAATAGTCACGAAGGCTCATGATAGAAAGAAATGTATAGGATTGTGTTGCCATCTTACATGTTTCCTAATAACACTTTTTAGCCAGTGAAGAGTCCTGAGTTATTTTGAGTACAGTTCTGTTTCTCCTTTATATAGAATATAAATTCTTGTTATTGTATACCTTCAGGGTTTCCCAGAGAGAATGGCCAGAATGAAACCCTAAGAGCTTAAAATTTGAAAGTGAAATACAAATCAAATACAATCTCAATCATGTTGATATATTGGCATTTTCAACCTATCTATTCCATTTGACAGTTCTTCTTGTTAAGGGTCTTGTGCCTGATTTCACCTTCAAGATATTTTGTGTTCTTTATGCATCTGCATTTAGAATGGAGATGCTAGGGATAATTTTTTTCCTTTAAAAAAAAAGGAATTTTAGATATTGAAATGCCAAGACTGGTGGAGGAAGATAAATAGAAACAACACAAACAGTAAAAGAACACGCGTTTGGAACTGAAACAGCAAAATGGAATTTATTATGAGCATGCATTATTTCTTCAGTTGAATTGTGCTGAAGAAATTTGTATTTCTATGATAATTGCACTCTAGCTGAATATACTAGATATGACCCTAAAGGACATATTTCCAGTATTTCAAGGGAAATATTAACTTATAATTAACTAGATTCTGTATGACTATGGAAGTATCATATGCTTGTAGAAGAGAATATGAAATGCTATCTCTCTATTAAAATCAGAATATACAATGTAAAACAATTCAGAATATAAAATTGCTATAACAGTAAAAAAAAAACAACTAAAAGCTGCTTTTCCCCTCCTCTCAATTGACTGTCATGTCACAATTTATTGGAATTAATTGCTAAACATTCATTTATATTCTGTAATACAGTTGTGATTATACTTGTTAGCAGTAATTGTTTATTGGAACAAAGGAACTATATAAATTGAGGATTACAATCCTAAATGTACTTTAGTGAAACCAGTTGAACTTTCTTAGACCCAAAGCAGCTTCTCCTGGTATATACTGCTACAAATATTATTTTGACTATTGATAATTATTTCTGATGACTGGATTAAGCTTTCAAGAGTCAATAACTTGGGCTTTTAATATTGAGGCAGGGCTATAATTTTCTTTTCTTTTGAATAGGTACCACAAACTAGGGACAGGATTCAATCCCAACACCTTGGACAAGCAAAAAGAAAGACAAAAGGGCTTGCCCAAACAGATCTTTGAGTCTGATGAAGCTCCAGATGGCAACAGTTACCAGGATGAACAAGTAATATTGCTCAGTTTACTTCATTAAAATTATTTGCTAGGGTTTTTATGATTGTGATTCCTTTTGCAAACTCTGTATAATTTGTTGGATTCTTGGTACTCTCTGAATTTGGTGGTTTTCTTGTAAAGGAAAACCAAGCTCAGAGAGCACCAAGAACTGAAAAATTCAATCCTGAGCTATAGTCTCTTCCATTCGATTTATCATTAGGATGATCTGAAAAGACGGTCCATGTCAATAGATGATACACCACGAGGTAGCTGGGCCTGCAGTATTTTTGACTTGAAAAATTCACTTCCCGATGCTTTGCTCTCTAATCTTCTGGATCGGACCCCAAATGAAGAAATCGATCACCAAAATGATGAGCAGAGGAAATCCAACAGGCACAAGGAGCTGTTTGCCTTGCATCCAGCACCTGACGAGGTACTGTTTGGGTACTTTAAGTTGCTAATTTTTAAATTCTATATGTATAGACATATTTTTATGACTGTAAACTGCCCAGGGTTACCCTATTGTAAGATGGGTGACCAATGAATAAACCAAACAAACGAATAATGAATGAATAAATACTTCAAGTTCACTCATACTCGTTCATGCTATGGACACATAAGTAGAATTCTTGTGTATGTGTTTGGCATTTTTGTAAAAAGTTAGTAAGCACTTGCTTTTTACTAGGTATATGCACAGCTGTGAATTTCATAAATAAGCAAAAAATAATAATTACAAATCCAGACAAGGGAAAGATCTCATATAAAGATATTTCTATGACCTTTCCTGTCTGAGAATGAATTGTCTATAAATAAGTCAGCAGGAGTTATTTCTGAATTGACACAGTCCTACAGTGTGAATTGCCCATATGTTCTTTTCCTCTCTTCCATAGCCTTGTGTGCTTTAAAACAAATGCTAATGTTTGCTTGTTCCACCACATTCCATCACAATGCAGGTTTTGGTGTGGTAGTTCTTGGCCAATAATCAACAACCTTTGCCAAGTATAAAACAGCTACTATTTAGCCACATACCACCTTAGTTTATTTTATGGGATTATTAACAACTTCGCTTGAAGAAACAGGAATAAAAATATAATCCTTTAGATATTGCTTTCCAGGGCTTTTTTTAAAAGGTATTTCAGTTGACAACGTTCCTACTGAAGGTCCTATGCAAAGCAGAGCAACCCTTTCATTTGGCAGAAAGAAGTGAAACAGCTATGTTGTTTTGATCTTACTGCTTCGCTTTCTTCCTGCAATTTCATCTGGTATGAAAAGTACCCGGACCAGGATTTTCCAGTGGTGCTCCATTCATGCCAATTTCTCTGCCACCTTCTGTGTGCATCAGAACTGGATGCAGAGAGACTCAAAGCTCCTATCTGGAAAAAAAAATGACATTCCTGTTTGGTTTAATAAGGCAGATGGTGGCACTTTTGCAGCATGAAGGTTTTCATTGAAGTTAATCTAGATTGCCTTGCATATATAGGCAGATCTACAGAGAACTGAAGAAGCTTCTAGGATGAGAAGCAAAATGTCTTCAAGGAAAAACAAAGTCCCAGGTTGCCTTTGCGACAACCATGATCTGGGTGACTGAGAATCTTCATAGACAGGCAGATCTACATTTATAGGCCTCCGGTCTGTAATCCGAAATTAATCCCCTCTATGTATTATTATTTTTAGTTGCTGCCAGTTGATCAATTTTGAAATTGCATTTATGCTTTAGAAAGGGATGGATGGGAATCTGTCTTGCATTTTTGTTTGTTATTTGATGCTATGCTTTGTTACGGAAGTGATGCATTCATTTCTTACTGGGTTCATGCCCAATTCTAGGAGGAGCCCATAGAAAGGCTCAGCATTCCAGAAATCCCCAAAGAGCACTTTGGTCAAAGGCTTCTTGTCAAGTGTTTGTCTCTAAAGTAAGTATTAACTCAGCCAGTTTGATGATTTTTTAAAAAAAATGCTGTTGTATTTTCCCCTCTATTAGAAGCGACTCTGAGTTTAAAATAATTGCGGGTTAGGGGTGGGAGAAAGTAGGACAGACACATGGACACATGTATACACAGACATGTACATAATACTTACCTTGTCAAACTAAGGTTGCCAGCTCCAGTGTTTTCCCTGAAATAAATGTGTTTCTTTATTTAGCATATGGCATCTACAGAGGTTGTGCAATTACTGATATACAAATTTAGTTTAAATAAAGCATCAACAAGTGTGTGTGTGTGTGTGTTTGTGTATGTGTGTATGTAAGATGTGAACAATACAGTATAGGACATAGCATATTAAAAGTTTAATATGTTAATATATTAAAAAGAGACACAGTGGCTCAGTGATTAGAATGTAGTTTTGCAAGCTAACTCACTGCTCAGTGCTAGGAGTTTGGTTTTGACTGGCTCAAGGTTGACTCAGTTTTCCATCCTTTTGAGGTCAATAAAATGATGACCCAGATTGTTGGGGGCAATATTCTGACTCTGTAAACCACTTAGAGATGACTGTAAAGCACTATAAAATGGTATATAAGTCTATATTGGTAAATGGTGTATAAGTGCTGTTGCTAAATTAAGATAAAACCATAATAAAACCACCATAACATGGACCCATAAAATTTCCATGAGATAGATGCTATGTATGTTCATATGGTGCACTTGTATAATGCATAGGTGGGTGTATATACATTCTGGAAGGCACACTGCTCCCCAGAAAGGTTGCCCAGTTCCAAAATAAATTGATAGATACAAATTAAATGAACAACACTTGATTAAACCATTATAAGCTGTCATGAGGTAGGTTGAGCTCTTGTCCTTCGTTCCAGCTCCTGCCGGGGACATAAAGGGAGCCCCCAACTGGGTGTCCCTCAGACAGCGGTGGTATCACTGGCTAATCCTTTCAACCTGGAAGCGCCTTGGTATTTCTGACATGAGCAATGCGAACTTAATTCCCCCTTCGTATCTCAGCCCTTTTATCCCATACACAAAGACTATTCTTGCACATGATAATATAGAATTTAGACATGTGGAGGCACAAATGCATTTCTTCCTTTTTTTCCAAAAGAAGCAAAAAAGAATGAAGGAGAAAGGTGTAGCTGCACTGTGTAGGAAAGAAAAGGAGATGCAGTGGATAACAAAACGGGATGAGGCATTAGGGAACAGAAGAGGGGGGGAAATCGCACTTTGGATTTTTTTATAATAAGGTTTAATAATTAAGGTTTAAAATTAATTTAGATAACACTTCCTCCCAAACAATGAATAATCTTCAGAGTCATCCATGTCTTTCAGTCACACTTGTAGTCATTTGCACCTTCGATCTATTTGTTTTCAATTTGGTTGAATTCTGCTCAGCTATTGACCCAGGCTAATTGATAAAATTTATTCAACTAGAATGTGCTGGATGATCAGACACACTGAATCCTTTAGATTTTTCAAATGAACTTTTAAAATACTTGCATGCACTCTTTCTGTAAAATTGTGAAACTTGTAACTATGGCTTGACACAAACATACCATTTCCACATTCTCCAAATAGCATTTAAATAGTTGAAGCACTATTAAATAGCAATTCGGTGCATGACGATTGAGGCGAATTACCTGTCTGAATTTTTCATATTCACAACTAACACAACTATAAATAATATACACCTTAGTTGCAATTTACTTCTATCTCTTTCCGCCTCTTCCCAAAAAGGAGTAGCTGAGGTATATTTCTTCTGAAGAAAATGTAAACTGAAATATAAAGGCTTTTGAATTTGATGGACTGTAAGAACCCAAGATGGAGATTTATAACAGCATGCACGGAGAAAATAGAAAAAGAGAACTTCTTACTTTCTCATAATATTAAAACTCAATCTGTGCAATGAAGACTCGGATTTTTGGTCTAGTGGTTAAGGCACCAGGTTAGAAAGCTGGAGGCCATAAGTTCAAATCGTCCTACCTTAGCCAGGAATGCCAGCTTGGTGATTTGGGGCCAGTCACTTTCTCTCAGTCCAACCCACCTGGTTGTTGTGAAAAAAATAGGAGGAAGGTGTGCTCTATATATTCACCACCTTGAGTTATTTGTAAAAATAATAAAGACAGGACACAAATTAAATAAATAAAAATAAGAAAAAACCCAAGAAAGAGTTTAGAAATGGTGAATAGAAGCCTAGAATATGTAACTAATACATAGAATTTGCTGGATGGGATAGATCACCTTCTCCAAAGTGATAGTGACCAGGTGGGTTAAACATGAGCTACCCTGATACTCATGCAACAACACTAATTCCCATGCTGATTGGGAATTCTGGAAGTTGCAATCCATTGCTTCTAAAAGGCAAACTGAGGCTCAGAAATCCAAACTCTCTTTAAACCTTGAGTCTTGAGGCAGCCAGCAAAGCATTCACCGGGGAGCCAGGAAACTTGTTAAACAAGTTTAATGAAGTGGAGCTCCAGAATAGAGGGTTACCTGTAGTTGGTTCATTGCCTATAACTCTTCTCTAATAACAGGAGGTAAAATTTTACTGCTATTCCCTTAGAGAAATAAAGCACAAAACTGATTTTCCACATGACTTTATTCATCTTGTCTGTCCTTAGTTCTGTCAACATTTTTTGTTAGGGAGCGCCAGTTACTACAGCTTTTGAAACTGAGATGTAAGTGGGACTTAAGTCCAAGGGCTGTGCATCTTTGCCCCCTTTTACGAGCTGTGGACTTCAACTCCCAGAATTCCTGAGCCAGCTGGGAGTTGAAGTCCACAGGTCGTAAAGGGACCAGAGTTGCCCACACCATCCCAGAGGGAAACAAAATTCTTGGCAGTAATTTAGCTAATTCTGAACATTTTTCTGTTACAGTGTTGTATAAGACTCTACAGCATGAAGTTGTACACATGCAATGAAGTAATATATCAGTTGGCCCTTTGTTGAGCTCTATTTCTGCTGGATCCCAGAATGGGTATTTAACATAAAGAGCTCCTGAGTACTTTGTACTGATGTTCCAGAAGCAGTTTAGAATTTTGTTAAGTGTCCCCAAAAGGGACTCATATGCTTTGGTAGATTGAATGGTGGGAGTTAGGATATGAAAGGCTGAGATCCACTAGATTGGGGCCTTGTATGCCAAATGTAAAAATCTCAAAATTGTCCCAGTCAGTCCAGTACAAATGCAAAGGGAAAACCTATAAATCTATTTTATTAAGTGTGATAGCTGGGGAGCCTCCATTTTAAATATATTAATTCAGCAGATAATGAAAGTCTTGAAGTTTGTCACATCTCGGTGGCACAGTGGTTAGAGTGCAGTACTTCTGCAGCCAGCTGCCTGCAATTTGGCAGATTGAATCTAACCGGGCTCAAGGTTGACTCAGTCATCCATCCTTCTGAGGTGGGTAAAATGAGGACCCAAATTGTTGGGGGCAATATGCTGACTCTGTAAACCGCTTAGAGAGGGCTGTAAAGCACTATAAAGCAGTGCTATTACTATGACTATCTGTCACCCTGGTATATTGTTGTTAGGATGCACAAAGTCAGAAGAAATCTCAATTTATCACTTACAAGAATGGGGGACACAGATGATGAGCAGAATCACTAGTTTGTTTTGTTTTGTAAATGAATATGGGTGTTGTCAAGTACCTACTTAGATCCACGGTCTGGAAAACAAGTAGCACTTTTCATCTTTGTTAAGTGAACTGTAGGGTAAATAGAATCAGGAAATAAGAAAGAAAATATTCCAGAAAACAAAGGCTTAAAACACTGCCAGTAATTTAGAACAGTAGGGTATTCTCATGTTGTGCCTAAGCTGTGTGCTGAAATAGATGCCTTTGTTCCTTCTACAAGCGAGCACTCAAATTTCCTTCCCTCTGTTTCTGGGGCCACAAATGTTGCCCCAAAGCCTTGATTGTGGCTCCCCCCGAGTTTCAACAACTGCCATTGAGTTTTAGCATGGCAAAAGGAAAAAATTATTAAATATATGGGGAAAAATGGTGTCAGTTGCAGTTATATTGATCATATGTTTTTCTTGCTCAGTGTGGGTATGGACATGCCATTTATATATATGAATATGTTCACTGTGTTGAACAAAATCACCACATTAAAAAAAGAATGTAAACTTTAACATGACATCCTGAGTTGTGGAGCCTTGTTCCTTTTTCAAGTTATAATTGTAAACCATTATTTGTTTTTTACGATTCCTGTTTTACTTTGGAGAAATCAGATAAGAGCTTCAGTCTGGACTACAAAGGTTTAAAGTTCCCTGTTAGTTTAATCCTTAGTGAAAATTATTTCTGAAGAAGATGGTTGTATGCAAGCACACAATCACACTGTCTACAAAACAGTAACAATAGCAAAAAGCTTAATTTTTTGTTTTGGTCAGAAATCTTTACCATAGAATCTCTCAAATTGGGAAGTCAAATTATTATGCCTTTTTTTGAAGCTTCACAAGATGAAACTTTGGTTTTGGACATGTGAAAATGCCATTGAAATTCATAGAGAACAGTTATGTATAAGTATATTTGTAACATTTATAGGCTGTGTTAGGATTATATAGAAGGATAGAAAGTTTATTAATTGGTTAGTAATACAATGATATAAAAAAATTAAAATATACAGGATCTAATTCCAGGGTAAAATAGATAGCAGAAAATACAAGTAATAAACAAAAACAAAATACAGGCTTATAATTCCAGGGCAAAATAGCAGAAAATACAGCCTAAGATCAAATGGATTATATAGGTGTTGGTTGAATCCAGTGTTAAAAACAGACTAGAAAAATGTGCAGTTGCACAACCAGTGGAACCCTTGAATACCTCTCATTCTTTTTATTGGCTAGATATATTGAGGGAACTTTAAGAATGTAAAGCAGCATTCAGAAATATTTGATTTTGTCTTATTAAATACTTGCATTATAATATCCTTGCATTTGTGCTCAAAGCTTTTTTTGGTTGCTATTGTATGCATCTTGGTGGAATACCTTGAACAATGCTACGGGTTAAACTGTTGTTAACGTTATAGAAATAGAATCATTGTAATCCATCATAATCTTAATTTGGTATCTGTGTGCCTGTAGAGTTCATATAGTGGATTGAAATAAGGTTGCTACTTTTTGGTTGTAATTTATCTTTTTCTTTTTTTGGAAGGTTTGAAATTGAAATAGAGCCCATTTTTGCAAGTTTGGCATTGTACGATGTTAAAGAAAAGAAGAAGGTGAGTTGAGACTTACTTGTTCTAGATGGAACTTGAATGCTGTACATTATCTGAGATACAAATGTCTCTGTGATCAGCACTTGTAATGATATTTTGTTTGCCTTAGTGGCTCAGTGGTCAGAATGCAGTATTATTATTTTTTTGAAAATTTTATTTGGGTTTTCACAAAAACAAAATACAAATAAAACATCTTTTTAGAAAATAGCATGGTCCCAGGTTATCACTTCTTCATACAGACACAAAACTCAATTTCATGCTCATTTTTATATTCTATTCCATATCTTATTACCATTTTATATTTTCTACATAGTTTTTCCCCTCTTCTAATTTTCTCAACTTTGTTTTAATTATCTCAATTCAAATTATTATATTTATACTTTTGTCTGTCCTGTTACAATTTCACATTATCTTTTCTTATTAAGCAAATTTTTCCCTGTAGTTACCAATTAGAGTATGACACCTTTATATCCTTTAATTTTATCCATTCAAGCTCTTATTTAAGCTTCAATGTATAGCTTTAAGATTATAGCATTCAATATAATACATAACTTCCAATCAAATTCTGCTTGGTACATTCTTAAAATAGACACTATATTCTTAAAAAGAAAAAGTTATATATATGTAAATAAAACACATTCCATTCCAATTCAATTCTATCATTAATATGCATTAAAATCTTAACATCTTTAACATTTCTTTTCAATTGAATATCATACTTCCTTGGGAACACTTATAAACTTTCCATAGTTAATTCTTTCCCCCCCCATATTTCTCACTTATATTTTTATAAATCTTTACTAATAATAAAAAATGTCCCCTTTTAATTCTCTCAATCATTTTAATTCATTTATTTATTAACAAACATCCCACTGCATTACAATAAATATTTTATCCATCATCATATTTTCTAAAGTTATTTCTATTTGTAATATAACAAAGCTATCTTATGTACCTTTGCAGAATCCCTTCTACAATTAAATTTTCACCCATTATCTCTAAACAAACTTATGGTTACAATCTTTATATCTTTTCCCTGTTTCTCCATTTCTTGTTTCTGTCTTTTACAACTTCTTTTCCTTGCCTTCTTCCCCCTCTTCTTCTCCCTCCCCTTTTTACCCCCTCATCTCTCTACTTCTAACTCTCTCATCTGTAATCCCCTCTTCTGTTGCTTTCTAATATTATACTTATCTTTCAAATTGTTCTTCTTTTTGGTTGTTTTTTCTAATCTTAAACCTTTCACTCTCTTTCCCCCCTTTTCTTCCCCCCCCCTTAAAATTATTTGATCATTAAAGATGGCTTCTTCTTTGTCCCAGTCTTCTTGTTCTGCAAGCGTTTCTTGTTGCTTCTCATAGTTCCAGATCTCCATTTCTAAGAATTGAAATACGAACCCAAAAGAACTTCTCCCTTCTTGTGCGTCTTCTGTCCATTTTTTAAGTTCCGTTTTCAGTTCTTCTAAGAGTGATACCATTTTTAAAACTTTTAAACAACCACCCAGTTAATTTTAGTCAATTTAGATGCAAAAACCAAAAATCACCAAGTAATCCAAATAATCCAAGGCTGTTTGTACTTGCTTCTTTTTTCCACTTTCTCTTCCTGGGTTTCTATTATTTTGTTACCAAGTTTCCATTAAAATGTATCTTTGAGGAATCTTGTTAAAATTTCACTGTAAGTTCCTTTTAATTACAGTTCCATTCCTTAATTCCAGGCAATCTCCTCCATTTTTCCAGATCCTGCCCTTCTATTCTTTTTTTTTCCTTTCCAGCTTTTAAAAACTTTTAAATGTCCAGAAATCTTTATTATCCCTTTGACTTTTATTTTCAGCTTAGATTCCTATTAATGTCAAAGTGGATTTTTTTTTCAGTTTCTTGCTTAAGTCTCTTAGCTGTCAGTATAAGGAAGGGAAGAAAAAAAACCTAATCCTTTCCCTTCTCTCTCTCCTTTCAAAATCTTCTTTGGGAACAATGTTGTTAAGTTTAAATTCCAGGGTACCTTATTTGTTGCTTTTGCTGTTTGACCCGGTCAACCAAAACTTTCTCTTCTTTTCTTCCTCCTGCACATTCTTTTCCGGTTCAGTTCTTCTCTGTGGTGGCCATTTCTGACCACCGCTACAAGCGCCTTCGGGAAAGGGAGTAATGGCCAGCTGGGGAGGAGAAATGCGGCTCTCCTCAACCCTGCAGGCAGTCTCCCCCCTCTTCACCACCTCTACGGGGTGGCTTAGCCCCGAAACCAGCCGGCTTGGGGCGCTCCACGGCGAGCACTGATCGAAGCCTCGGAGAGACGAGGTTTCGGTCTGTCGCCGAAGAAGCTCAAACCGGAAGTCCCGGTTAGAATGCAGTATTGCAGGCTGCCAGTTAAATGCAGTTCGGCAATTCAATTCCCACCTGGTCAAGGCTGACTCAGCCTTCATCCTTCTGAGGTTGGTAAAATGATGAACCAGAGAGTTGGGGGCAATATGCTGATTCAGTGAACTGCTTAGAGAGGGCTGTAAAGCAATGTGAAGCAGTATATAAGTCTAAGTGCTACTGCTATCATGATACAAGGATTACATCGACAATTCAAAAGCGGAAAAGTCAAATCTTTTGAAGAATAACTAAAAACTCACTGTCACTATTTAACTCACTGTTGACTCTAGCAAATGTATGAATAGCGCACACATTTTTAGGCTTAATCCAGAAGTCCATGTATGCCCAGTGTCAATTAAACCATGTTTGGTTTAAAGTGTTTTTACAAGTATGCATAACCGTCCCCATTCCAAATCACATTTTAGCAACCTAATTTGGACTTGTGCAGTCCTAAATGGCATAAAACTATGTGAAAATATAAAAAGTATCTTGAGTTACTACCATCTCTAGCAATTTAAAGAGTAGCTATGTTGTGAACTGATTTGATACTTTAAAATTTTGGATTCATCAAAGAATATCTCTCTGTCTGCCTAATAACCTGCCACTAGCCACCGTCTTATTTTAGATTTCAGAGAATTTTTACTTTGATTTGAACTCCGAACAAATGAAAAGCATGTTGCGGCCTCACGTCCCCCCTGCGGCCATAACCACTTTGGCTCGTTCAGCCATATTTTCTATTACATACCCTTCCCAAGATGTCTTCCTGGTAATAAAGGTAAGATTTTTCTTCTCTTGTTCAAAAAGAGAATATTTTATGTGATGATAAAGGTTGGGAATATAGCTATCCAATATATGAGTATTTAAAAATTAGAGACGAAAGTCATTTAAAAATCTGGTGGAAGATATGATTTCATAAGACTGAATATTGTTTGTAGGTAATCATTTCTCTTTATATATGTAGGGAGAAATATGCAAGGGAGAAATATTTTAAGAGAAACAGCAGAGCCAAATAGATTAGGCACTATATAAATGCAGATACATACACAACATTCTTAAAGGAAATAAATCCTGACTGTTCTTTGAAAGGACAGATACTACAAGCTACAATCTTTCTTTTTGCTTCCTTTTCTTTGAGTAGTTGGAAAAGGTACTACAGCAAGGAGATATTGGGGAATGTGCTGAGCCATATATGATTATGAAAGAAGTAGATACTGCAAAGGTAAGCACTTTATAAATTTTTCATCCAAAAGTAGATTGTGCCCTGCACTTAACAGTTGATTGCTACATTCATTAAACAAAATGGAGCAGTTCACATATTAGAGTTTGCATGGAGATACAAATTGTGAATTGTAAGTCATTCTACTGACAAATAGTATAAAGTGAATTTGTATAGTATAGTATAAAGTATAGTATAAATAGTATAAAGCAATTTGTGGTAATTCCCATTTCCCTTGTATTTTAGCCTTTTGGAGATGCCAAAATTGCTAAAGTTTTTATCTATCCTGTTCTTTGAACCCCATTGAATATAATTTCTCATAGGTAATTTGCTTGAGTAAGTTCTTGGGAGGATTTAGACATATTGCTCAATTATATTTGTCACTATGTGACTAAGCCAAAATCTTGCATTTTCACTCCTGCTCTTGTCTCTTTGCATCATGCCCCTGTTCTTCCTCTTTCAATGAAAATTTGTGGTTTACTGTTGCCCCTTAGTGCTTGCCTTCCAAACAGAATTATGTGCTATAATAAATGGAAAGCTAGCAAGATAAGGGTTTGTAAAAGAATACAAGAAGCTCTCAACTTATGTCCACAATTGAGCCTAATTTTTCCTTCTTCTAAGTGAGACAGTTGTTAAATGAGTTTTGCCTCATTGTATGACTTTTCTGGCTACAGTTGTTAAGTGCAGTTGTTCAGTTAGTAACACGGTTCAAATGAATCTGGCTTCCCCATTGACTTTGTTTGTCAAAGGGTCACAAAAGATTATCACATGACCCCAAGAAACTGCAGCTGTCATAAATAGGATCCAGTTGCCAAGCATCCAAATTTTGATCACATGACCATGGGGATGCTGCAATGGTTGTAAGTGTGAAAAACAGCCATAGGTCACTTTTTTCAGTGCTGTTGTAACTTCAAATGGTCACTAACTGAACGGTTGTAAGTGGAGGACTACTCGTATTTTAAAATAAAAATAAGATATTGTTAATATTTTTGAGGTCTTGGCATAAATCTAAAAAGAATTCTAAATAAATAACAGCTCTGTGCTGTTTTTTTATAATCTTGCATCAGTCTCCTTTTGATATTTTCTCTTTTAGCTACAGTGTAGCTTGTACTTGTTTAGAGATATATTTTGGGAATTCTCTTAGGTTCTATTACTGACTCGATTGCAAATGCTGTGATTTTCACTTTCAACTAGAGGCAAGTCCTATCATTCCGCCATGCATATTTATACCACATTTAAAGGTTCATTGCATTACTTAACACAATATTAGGAAAAATCTTTAATTCGTGGGAGGAATGTCTATACAATCAAATGCTTCAATAAAAAAAAATACTTTTTATTTCCTACCATCTATGAAAAAGAGTTTTTTTAGAAATATGCCAAGTTTCAGCTTTTAAACATGAACTGACATGTTATAATTAACAGAGAACTATTAATGTTGTAGAAATATTTCAGTTGTATGAATGGGTTTATTTGCTTATTTTTGTTTTTGCAGAACAAGGAAAAGCTAGACAAACTGAAAAGCCAATCAGAACAATTTTGCCAAAGACTTGGCAAATATCGTATGCCTTTTGCGTGGACTGCTATTCATTTAATGAATATAGTCAGCAGTGCTGGAAGTTTGGAAAGAGATTCTGCAGAAGTAGAAATTGCTACTGGAGGTAGATATCTAAACATAGTACAAGAAATTGAAAATAAGTTTTAGCAGAAGACTTACTTTTTTAAAACTACTTGCTTACTAGCCGCAATATTTGTTTTGAGTTACATACTACCTATCACTTAAAAATAGCATTTCATTACTAGGAAATAAATTAATATATAGTATATATTTAGAATATAGAACATGCTGCTGAAAACAAGCAAATGGATTAGAGATGCAAAGGACTGCAGATTTTGCTGATGAAAAACTAGGTTAGCTTAGTGGGTTTTAGTGTCTGGTGAATTTTAATTTTTTGGGAATGTGGAATCCTTGGTGCTCCCTGAGCGTTGTTGCTTTCTTGCAGGTGTTTCATTACCTGAGTAGGTAACATCTTCAACTCTAGAAGGGAGTGGGGTTTGTAATGCTGGAGCAGAGGTTCCCTTTCCTTTTTTTTTCTTTTCATCTGGTTTAGATAATTCTTCCC